TACAGGTATTTCTTCAAGCTTATAAGCTTAACAAATGCTAAATAGGGTTAATAAAAACATTTTAGATCATTTTTAATTAGTTTATTATTAATAATGTATTATTAGTGCTTTGTTGTATCATTTCAAGTTAGCTGCTTATCAATAACTAAACAAAGAAAAAACAACCCGAAACTAAGCTCAATTCTCTCCAATTTACTTCATTTCAGAAACAAAAAACATGTTTATTTACAAAGTTTTATTGGTAGCTAAATTTCGTCAGAGTTTAAAAAGATTTTTAGTAATTAGAGAGAAAGAGGACTTTTTTTTAGCTACCTGTCAACACCCGCCACTTTGGTCGCCTGCACCGCCGCTCTAGCGACCCTGCATTTAGGGGACATTTATTGTCTATTTGCCCGGGTATTTGGTGGTATTTGCCTATACCTTTTACCGAGGGACACCAACGCCACCATCACCAACCCCTCACTCTCTGTGAGTGAAACCGAAAACAGCGACAGGTAAAAGGCCAGGCGGGTGGAGAGAGAGGGAGAGAGCTAACGGAAAACAGAGTGGTGCCAGAAAATGTGGAAAGGTATTTTTTTCCCAGGCCAAGGAATTTGCACAGGTGACACGAAGATACTTAAGAGAGCACCCAGCAGCAGCATATCCCACAAGGCCCATCCATATCCACATCCACATCCGCCAACCGCATCCACATCCGCATCAGCTGGGAGTTTTCCCCCATCCTCTCCTAATCTTTCCCCTGTGAAAATCCACAAAGGAACTTCACTTGCCATAACTGTCAACATTAAAACACCCGACTTATGGCCACTCAACATTTTAATGGGGTTTTAAAAAGGTGGCAGATTTAAGGCCAGCTCAAAAGCAATTCGAGCTGCTCATTAGCTTTTTGTTGATTTTTGTCTATATGCAATATACTTTTTTTCTTGTTATTAAAAATAAATTTCAATTACTGGTATTAAACGCACGCTATATGGGCAAGCAGTTACCTTAGTAACCCATAAAATAGTTATGGTTACACTTTAGTTAATTGTTATGTGAACTGGAGTTGTGCAATATCTTTGTCTTGGGAACGTGGGTAGCTCGCATAAACTTTGTCATCTTTGTTTACTTTTTTGACTAATCTGAATTAGTTATTAAATTATTGTTTGTTAGCCAGAAATTGCCTATTTATAATACATAATTAATGAATGAACTAAACATAAACCAAGATTTTATTAGTGAATCAGTAGTTTAACTAGTTTTTTTATTAATAACTATATTTCAAGCTAAATAATAAGGGCTTTATCTATCCCGTAATTAAAGGTAATCTTTTAAAAATATGATTTTTGGGTTTCTATTTCGTTATCTAAACCCATTTTAGTAAAGTCGAATTGGACTTTTGCTTTCTTTTTTTAATATTTCAACCCATACCAGATGTTTATCTAAAGTTATTAATGATGGCTCTGTCTTAAAGACTGCTATATGGTTTAAGAAACCGCCAATGTAGGTCTATTATAAGGTAGAACTTCTTATAATGATGGTACTATCTTCTGTATATTGTATATATTTCTCTATATTTCTCTATATTTATCTATTTTCACTTTTTTAACCCGTATTACATGGTCATCATCTTGGAAAATTTGTTGGTAATTATAAATGCCAACTTTTTTAATGGTTTTAAGATCCTTTTGAACCATAACATCGTTTTAAGATGCTATATAAAGGCTAAGAAACAACTAGCATCCTCAACATAATGATGTTATCCCAGAAATTAGATTTATATTTCTTGTTTTAATATCTATTTATAATAATACATATTCGTTTCCCCATATTTAGGCTTTATGTTTACTTAAATTGTTTTTAAGATGCTAAATAATGGCCAAATGGAACTCACCGCAGACATCTAGCCATCCTTCGATTCTGCTGGGGTAGGAAATCGCGGAGGCTCGGCTCAAATAAGTTCGTCGTCCCATTCTGGATGTGGTGGTGGGTGGTTGGGGGGTTGGATGCTGTTCTGGTCTCTCAGCCGCGCTCTCTCTCTCTTCTTTGGGGGTGCTCGCTCTCTCCGCTTTGCTATGGTCCCCTTGCTTCTGCACTGCTCCCCCTCTCCGTGGCTCACTTATCGTTTAGCTTATCGACTCGTTGAGTTTTTGTTGTTGTTGCGCTGCTTAATTTGAATATTGATTTTGTTTGCGGTGTTGTTGTTGTTATTGTTGTTGGTTTGTTTTTATTGCACTTGCCGTATGGCTTTTAGGCTTCACTTTATTTTATTTGTAAAACACACACACACACACAAGATTAAAGATGAGAAGAGTAGAAAAAAAGAGAAAAAAAAAATAACATGCGTCGAGTTTCAAATCGCGATTCCGTTTCCAAGAGCAGGTTGTTTTACTTCTTTTTTTCGGTCTGTCTTGTTCAGTGATTTGTTTTTTGTTTTGTGTTTTTACGGTTTTACGATTCCGAATCCGCTCTTTGTTTCCACGCACGAATCCGTGTTTTATTCTCCATCTTCGCCACCTGTCTCTTCCACTCCCGCTCCTGCTCTCAAACCCTGTCTCGTTCTCCGCTTCCTCTTATTTTCGGCGTTTTCTGTTTCGGCCTCTTTTTGCGGTTCTTTTGCACTTTTTATTTTAGCCCTCTATTCGCAACAGCTGAGTGGCATTTCTGTTTTTAGGTTTACTACTTCTTTTTATTATTATTCGAAGGCCGGCATATATGTATTTTGAAGTCGGTCGAGAAACCAGAACTTTAATTTACGCGCGCCACCAGTGCGTATTTCTTTTTATTTTGTTTGACTATTTTAAAATCACGACTCCGGCCAACAGCAACAAAAAAAGATTCAATCACAAACGTGTGTGGGTGTGTTTGTCGCGAAGCTCCAGAATATTAACCGCATTGCTGTTGCCGCCGTGACACACTCCCACTCCGCACATAAAAAAAAACACAACAGAAATATAGCGCTCGGATCGGAGATGTATCTTTTTTGGCTCTCGGAATCAAAATAGCGGAGAAACATCGATGCCAACATCGGTGTCATCGATGTTATCGAATCATTCGATGTTGGCCAGGGCATCATCAATGTTTTTCCACCTCTAAGGCGCGAGTGCAAAGAGAGTAAAATGTAAAAAAAAAGTTCTACACGCTTGGATACAACGATGTCAAATTTCCTATATTAACTATATTAATATTATTCAATTTTAAAAATACTGAAATTTAATTTAAAAAATTTTAAGCTATTTACTATTTACTTGAGTAAAAAATCTATAGAATCAATGTTTAATCCGTAAAAACATCGAGAAATCGATAGTGGAAAATATCGATTTTTGCCAGCTTAGCTTGTTTCAGGCTAGATCTTTATCTACATTCAAAATTAAAAATCCTTATGAAATTTGCAACTAGCTAATTTATCTTAGAAATACCTTGTATTACTGTTCAATTAGCATATTCTAGCAACAATTGTTTGCGAGATATGAGCAATTTATTTTATAAGGGAAATATCTCAAATATTTCACTTGCTCTTATTTTGCCGATGCCGCGGCCACAATCAGTGTTAATGTAGCTATTTTTAAATTAGCTGTTAACAGGAGTGACGGCGGTAGGGAAAAATGAGCCAAAATATCAATGTTAATCGATAACTTTTTCGTTATTTTTAAATTTTAAAAACTTTCACAATTTGACAAAAATTAGTTGTAGACGTTAAATTAAGTATGGAGATTTTTTAACGTAATAAAACTAACATATCACCGCAATTCCAAATTAAAATTAATGCTTTTTGGAAGGATTATGATTTTTGTTGAATTTAATATGTCCCAAATGAAAAACATGTTATCCCTTTTTTTTAAATTTATATATACATATATTAATTTTTTAATTTGTACTTATATTTATTTTATCCAGGTTTTTGCCTAATCAACGAAACCCCTAATGGGCCCAATGCACTCTTTAGTGCAATATATAAATAAAACCAAAGACAAACGATTTTTTTTTTTTAATTATAAAAAATTAATTAATTTAATTTAATGTGATTCTGACAGGCTAGCGCTTATTTATCATTTTTTAATAAATAAATTTGGATGATGCTAAGCGTTTTTAAAAAAAAAAATAAATTTATCCAATATTATTTTATCATAATTATTGACTTAATCCTCGTACTCTATTTTGGCCAGGGATTTATTGGCAGCTTCTTTGTGTGAGCAGTGTGGGCTTAATCACACGGCCGGGGATGTGGGCCTGGAAAGGGGAGGTGGTGGTGCCTTCCCGAGACCCCGTTACCTGCTCGTGTGTGTGCTCCTTTTCCGCATTGCTTTTTCCAGGAAGCTTTTTGCAGCGCACGACAGGTTGTACATGCACACACACACACACACTAGCCGTCGTGGAATTTGTCCCAGACCATGGTTCGCCCAGGATCTAGAGCGAGACGGAGATAGCGCATGCAACGACGTATTCAAGGTCCACCTATAGGCACATCCACATTCATACATAATACACACGGTGTGTGTATCCCTTTGCAGGATACGAACTTTACGTGGTATATATACAAGCACAGGAGGGTGGTGGGCTGGAGCCGAGGGGTGGCTTTCGTCACTAGTGGGCGCCTTTTGGGGAGATTTTTCTCCCTGCGAGAAATCAGCTGACGGCCGCGTTGCCAACCAATGAAGCAACCGAACGGCAATATTCAAGCTGTGAAAAGTGTGAAAAACTGGCCAAATATAAATAAAACTTTGCGTTACGTTGTGAGAAGAGTTAAGAACTGGCCATAATATAAAATATCATATTTGTAACGTTTTCTATTTTGTTGGTCAGTGAAAGGGCGTGAAACTTGGATAAGAAATTCGTGTTTTCGAAGCCGGTTCGCGTCCGTGCTGTTCATAAATTCTGCTAGCAAAACTCTGCTACTCTCATCTGGGTGACCAGAGGTTGTAGTATCGGGTGTTGTTCGAGTGTGAGATGTGGATTTTTTAGGAAGATTTCAATTTTTCAGATTTTTTAGGGCCAAATTTTCAATAAATACGAGTGCAAAGCGCATTCGAAAAAAAATTTCCAACTCAAACGAAGCAACTTGACGGGGAACGCGGAAAAATTGAGTTAAAAATTTGCAGTGAAGGCGTTGTGTCGCGGCGAATAGCAGGAAAATTGGGAAAAATTGATGGTAAATCGCCAGTTGAATTTTCCGCTAGTCGGTGCGTCGCCCAGTTATCCGTTTTTTGTGTTGCCGCTCCTCCACGTTGTTGGCGTCGTGTACGTGTCTCCCTCTCTCGCTCTCACCGACTCTCTCCCTCCTGCTCCACCGCATGCAAGAGCGCCGACGAGCAGCGACGTGTGTGTGCGTGCGCGTGTGTTTGTGTGCGACAGCGCAGCGCAATAGCTAAACATTTTTTTTGTTTTTTCGGGTGGCAGAAGAAGAAAATGCGTGCGCCCGTGTGCGTGTGTGTGCGTGTGCAAAAATCAATATAAGGAAGAGAAAAAACCACGATGAAAACATAAAAACAAAAGCATAGCAAAGGCAGAAGGCGAGGAAACGAAACAAGCAGAAAAGAAACAGTTATTCCAGCCATGTCGCTGCAAACGAAGCGCCAGCACTGCTATCTGTGCGACCTGCCCCGCATGCCCTGGGCCATGATCAGCGACTTCTCGGAGGCGGTGTGCCGCGGCTGCGTCAACTACGAGGGCGCCGATCGCATCGAGGCGGTGCTGGACGCCGCCCGCCAAATGAAGCGCCTGCATCCCGCCAGCAAGCGTGCTCACGAGAACGGCGAAGTCTCCTCCGTGGCAGCCGCCGTGGTCCTCCAACAGCAGCAGCAGGCGCAACAGCAGCAACAACAGTTACAAGTTGGCCCTGTGCCGGGTCCGGGTCCGGGCTCCCATCGCGGTGCACCGCCGGGCCCTGGACCGGGTCCCTCTGGCGCCGGCGGCCCCCTGTCCCTTGGCTCGGCCGTGGCCGCCGCCGCGGCTGCCGCCCACCATCATCACCAGGCCGCTGTTGCGGCCGCCTATCAGATGCCCGTACCGCGCATCGGTCCGCCTTTGGATTATCCCGTAAAACTGGAGGATGCACCCGGCGGCGGCGTGCGGCCCGTGCGCATCTCACACATGACACCCCACCATTTGCCGCCGAACGCGGCGCGACAGCCGTCAGGAGGCGGAGGAGGAGGACCGCCGTCCAGTGGAGGCAGCAATCTACCGCCCGCTCTATCCGTCAACCTGAAGCGGCCGCCCAGCGAGGACGTGGACGTGGATGTGGCCCAGCAGCAGGCGCAGCAGCAGCACGGCCTGGCGCCGGACGGAGCGACATCGCTGTCGGCTGTCCAGGGAGGACCCGGGGGCGGTCCGCCGGGAGCCAAGCGTAGCGCCATGGACGATCCCGCTGGAGGTGGCGGCCGGCCGCCTTTAACGCGCGGCGAATCGCTACCGGCGGCGGTCAGTTATGTGCCGGAGCGACAGCTGGGCGGCCTGCGGGACAAGCAGCAGCCAGTGCGGGCGCCCAGTTTCGATGCCTCGACCTTCAAAGCAGGTGAGAGAAAGAAGACTTTTGTAGTCCAAAGTTCAAGGCCCCTGCCACCTGGTCAAGCTTCTTATACATATATGGGAAACGTAGGAATCGTCGACAAGCCACCCCTGTGCACGGTTACGTTTCATTGATGCATATTTAATTAAAAAAAAAAGAACTAAACTATTGATTCATATTGCTTTTCTTTGAAATCACTTGGCAGAGTGTACAATGGTATGCTAGGAATTATTACTGACTTTACAACAAATCTGCTATTTCAAGAAATAAATATAATATTTCAAAATCCTCTCTCGTAATTGGGTTCTGATCCTTAGTTATCAGGAAAAATTACAAGGAAAATATGTATATATATATTATATAATAATATATATAGTTAGCCCTACTATCATCCCCAATGATCAATCGAACTGCTGGGAGAACAGGGCTGTTCCCCATCGATTACCCTGATAGCTTCGTCTGGGTCACAGTGATCACTCCATGCAGCTACTCCAGACAAAGATTTAGTTTCCAAAAGAAAGCCTTTGATTTTTAACCTTTAAATAAGATTCGATTATTTCAAATTCATAAATCTAATGCAATCTAAAAATAGATTTATTATTGCGAAGTTATTTGTATTTTTAGAAATTCCGGAAAAAATGCCTCCAATAAGATTATCAGGTTACCAATAAATAGTTTACCCGCCTGAAAGAGTGTAAATTCATGAAAATAAAATATGTTTCAGGAGCGCCCACTGTAATTGTTTACCGTTGCTAGAGTGGAGAGTGTAGAGTGGAAAGCGGCGTGGAGCCTGCGATCGGGGCAAAGAAGAAAGGGATTGCTGGCTATCCCTCTCTAGCTGGTGCGCTGGTGCCGCTGCTGCGGTGGGAGTAGTGGGAGTACAAGGGGGAGCGACGAATGCTGGCGATAAGGCAGGGCAGCCAAACTGGCACATAGAGATATTCAGGCCAGAATGAAACGGCGTGATTGCCTCTATTCCTTATCTCCTGTTTAGGAACCCTACTATCAGTGCGTGTGTATGTTTGTGTGATATGCGGAGCTGGGTGCTGAGATTAGATAACGCTGCTGCTGCTTATCAGCGCTCGGCTCTTATCTCGCAGATGCGTGTGTATGTATAACACACACATACAGCCGAACGGCCAAAAGCCGAAAAAAGGCAAGGCAGGAAAATAAACGTTAGTTGGAAACGCATTTTGCAACCCTCTGCCGAACCGAATAAAGGGGCTGCCAACCCTTGCCATTAAAAGGCATGCGCACATCCCGAAATATATAGGGAAAACATACACATTCTGTAAAGACATACATTTAACTACATACACACACACCTATGTACGTGCAGGGACAGTCACATCCACGTTCGCTTACATGCACGTACGTAATCGTAATTGCAAGAACAAAAACGCAAAAAGCTAAAATACACAAGACGAAACGGCAGCAGCAACAACAAAAATGCCGCAGAATGTAATAAAAACAAAGACGTGCAAAAATCGACGACGCTGACGTTGTAATGTTCTCGCTCTCCCACTCTTTAGCTCGCTCGCTCGCTCACTCTTCCTCTTTTTCCAAACTGGTTTTCTCGTTTGTGTGCGCTCGCGTGTGTGTGTTGCCTTTTTTTCTTGGCTGCGCGCGCAAAACGTCATTAAACTTGTTTTGGTTTTCGCTTCTGCTTCGTCGACTGCTTCTTCTTTGCCGTTTCTTCCTCTTCCTTCGCTGCTTCCAGCCTTTTCTGCGCCGTTTTACGCTATGCGATAACAAGTTGCACACACACACCAGCTAACACGACACACATACACAGCTAGCAAACAAACCAGAGTGTAGATAAATTTTAGTTGGTATACGAATTACGGAACGAGCTGCAGTGACAAAAAGCCAACAACAGCAACAACACTCCCCAAAACAAGAAGAAAAAGCTTAGGAAAAAAACAAAGTTTTTGCTCATACCGATGCCGTCATCAAACAGTGGGGCAGATATGTTTTTAGGGGACAAAATATAAAACAAAAAATGATCTAGAAATTATGATGATTTATTCGTTAAATTTCCAAGTTTTTTAAAACCACCGAAATGCATATTCTCTTCTGATAATAATTATCAAGATTAGGGAATACAATAAATAAAAAATATTGCCTAACTTTTAAGGTGGAAAAAAACACTAAAACATGATAAAGTTATTGTACTTTTACTTAAAGTATAATTTTTCAGCCCACTGTGCCAAATTTGTTTTTGTTTTGTATTTACGTTACGCTTTTGCTTCTTCTTCCTGTGTGTATTCGTTTCATTACCAAAAAAAAAAATACCAACTCGGGTACATACACATACAAATACATACACAAAATATATATACGTAAATATATATTGCGTTTGTGTATATACTAAAAATATAACATTTTCTCGGTGTACAGAGGAAAAATTGTACAAATGGAACGGCAACGTGCGCGCGCCACCCCCTCCCACTTGCACTCCCACTTCACACCCCCCTTTTCGTTTCGTTTCATTCAGCGCTTCGTGTTGCCGGTTAAGTGTGTGTGTGTGTGTATCTAGTCGTATGTATGTATGCGTTTACTGACTGACCATTCCAATGCGTTCGCCAGGAATTTGTTCGTGCTTTCCTTTTGTGCAAGCAGTGCAGCATGCCGGGCAGCAGGGTGTGGAGAGCACCTCTCCCTCTCTCCTAATTAGACGTTGCGTGCCTCGGTGCAGCTGCAACAGCAGCCAGCAGTAGCAGCCGGGGGTCGGTGCGGGTGCGAGCGGGATGGCTAGCTGGAGTGCGCTTGGCCGCTGTTAACCGTTAAAACACGTGAAGGCGATGTATCTGAGGCTGCTCTCTGCCGCTGATTAGATACAGATGCGGTCACGCCACTAGCATTTTTTACAATAAAACTACAATTACAATTAATTCTAATGTACATAGTAACAAAATGGGAAGATGTGTTCTTGTTCTATATATTTTCGTGGATCAACTATATCTGTAGGTTTTTTATAGAGTCTTACAATTCTGTTCTTTTTATAAATTTAATACCAGTATATTAATTACTGTATAGAATTCCTATCATATTAAAAATAATATTTACAATTCCTTCATTTCAGAGGAAATGCAAATTATAAAATGAATTACAAACTAGTTGTGAAATTAAAGTCAAAATAGTTGAGTGGGGAAACTGCAAAGTTATGAAAGGGTATTTAAAGTTATCTTTAGTGATTTTATTTGCTATTCCCTAGAAAGTGTCAATGAGGTTGGTACTTGGTATATGCGGAGATAAGCAGCGATAAACTAACTTATCGGCGTAGATTGCACCAGGGACTGACTGGGACTGGGACCATATCTTATCATATCTCAGGGACCCGACCATGTGGTTAGTTGATAAGCAAAACAACTGCTCGATAAGGAACTAAGCCCCAAAACATGCGACCCACAGAGCAAATAGACGGAAAGAGCAGCGTCCTAGAGTAAAGTCGCCGCTAAAAGCCAGATATGATATATTATCGCCACTTTTTTGATAACTGAAAACTGATCGATTATTGATGGATAGATGCCGGAATGGTATTGGTTTAACTTATCAACATTTTCGGAAATTTACTCCACACTTCTGATTAAAAATATTATGTTTTAGTATTGTATTTTACTGCTTTTTCGAGTTTAGCTTGGAATATAGATTCAACATTAGGGTCTCGACTCTTATCGATTAATTTAAAATAATGATTTAACTGAAACTTAACAAAAATTTTATATTGAACATATAGAGAACCGCTATTAAATCAAAGCTTTCTGATTAACTTCTTGGAACTAAAAATCAATTTTCCTAAGAAATTTTATACATATTTTGAAATTTATATTTAATCATAAGCAAACTTTAGCTGCTAATCTTTGATTACGTTCTAAAACGGTCGTTATTCGGAATATATATATATTTTTTTCTTTTCAGTGGCTTGCCCTTTGGGTCCCTTTTTCCCGCCTTTTCTTGATTTGGCCTCTTTTTAGAGGTTCTTGATCTCTGCGGTGAGATCATCCCGATCTTATGACTGTCTTCTGATAAGCTCCTCTTTTTGTTTTCTTTTTATGAAAGCCGTCGTGAGATAAGATGTGATTCCGGGGGGAAGTTTAAGTACAGGGTACACAAGATTTCGATTTGAAATTCCATTTCCCTTTAAACATCCATGCCACTTTCGTTTGCTCTTGGCCGCGCTTTATACACACAGCTGTTTTGTTTATCTTATCTAAAATTGTTAAGTGGCCGATGCCGTCCACCGGGGTCCTACTCAAGCCTATCTTATCAACCATGGCCAACTTTGACTGATAGCGACGCACTGTACCGGGTCGCAATACTACTTATTCGTTTGTCGATTTACATTCCCATGCCCATGCCGCTTCAAAAGCATTTGTTTATTTTTCATTATATCTCTCTCCTGTTTCTTGTTAAAGTTTTCTACTTTAAATAAACACGAATGTAAAATGCCTTTGAAGATTTTTTTCTTGTTGCGGAAAGCGATTGGATCCCACTTGAAAATGTATTCCCACTTGGGGCAATGTTTTATTATATTGAATCGCCCAACCAAAGCCTAACAAAGCGTTCCCGTTTAAGAATTTTATAAATGTAATATCTATACAATTCCGTAACCTATTAAATGTCATATGGTTTTAATAACTTCTTAAAGTAACTTATTACAATACAATAAATCGATAACGAAAAATTGCCTCGATAAGATTTATTTATAATCATGTATGATGTATGATGCAGTTAAAAAAGCTTTTAAAAATAATTTGACTTATCAAAAAGCAGTCCCTTTATGAAACTTGTTCATATATTTGTGAAATACTTTAAATAAAAGGCATTAGTCAACCACAGCCTAATCTTTTCTTAAGCCTAAATATGATTTTTGCCTGTCCTTTGACAAATGAATGTGTGATATAATCCTGAGAAATCGCAATAATCACATTCCTTAGCTCACTGCTGGGGATAAACAATCTACAATTTCGAAGTACCCCATATTAGTTGAGATGAGTGGGAGC